TTGTTGTAAATTGTAGTCTAAAAATGTTTACAATTGGGGCACAAAAGAATTCAACACATGTACTCTTTTAAAAATTCTAATATTTGTCCTTACTTACAGACCAATTTTGCCCTCAGAGAGTCTCCAAACATCCTCAACGAATTGACCCAGTATTTATACACACCATATGCCCTCCAAAAGTGGCCCGTTAAAATGATTGCAGTGCCGGAATTTTCTGCAGGTAATAAAATTGACAATGAAATGGTACCTTATTTACATCAGATTATATTTATATTTATTTATATTTATATTTATATTACATATACAGGATTGAATTTAGTAATTACAGAAAATAAATTATCTTAATTGAATTAATGACAGTAAAATACAACAATAAAATAATATTAAGCCTAACGTTAATATTATCTAATACAATAACTTGAAGAAAAAAATGTTATAATATTGAAATAGTTTATATAAGGCTTGTAGTCCAACGTAGATCTTGAGATTCTTCTTATGGTAAAAAAAATCCTTTAAATATCCGTTTGCAATTTTTATTTGAGTCCCATATCTGGAAAATAATAATTAAGAGCAGTATCAAAAAAGAATATAATATGAAAATAATTTTAATGATAATATACTAAGGTTAGAAAAAGTGTTAAAATAATTTGGAATAAAATTAGAAAAAGTATGGAAAAGGGAAAAAATAATAGTAACTGTAAACTAAAAAAAACGTATCAAATATTTATCAGTAGGCATTTCATTATCAAATAATGTTTGATATCGAAATTGGCAAACTCAGAAGTTTCGTAGAAACTTTGGGCTTTTAAAAGTTTAAGAATGCTATTATGAAATTGACGATCATTCAATTTCCTAACATATAGTGAGAATAGATTAAAAAGCTGTACTCCTCTTCCGTCTATGGTATTGAAAGATGTTTCAAGTTTAAAAGTTGGTCCTTTTATAGTCAAATTTCTTGTTTTTTAATAGAAATTCAACATGGAGGATAGGTTGAAGCGTTCAGGATTTATCTTAATGAATGACAACGTAATTAGCAAAAATATATAGGGAACAGTGAGAATGTTAAATAGTCGATAAAGATTCCTACATGAGTGCAAGGAACTGAGGGAAAAAAATATTCTTAATGCTCTTTTCTGTATTTTGAATATATCCTTTAAGGATGACGAGAATCCCCAGAATTGTATTCCATATGCGAGATGGAATAGAAATTAGAATAATAAATTTAAAGAAGGCAATTTAAACTAAATTTAGATTTTAGAATCCTCAACATGAAACAGCTTTTGTTAACTTAGGTACAAGTATGGAATGAATATGATTGTCCCAGTTTAAGTTTTTGTGTAATTGGATGCCTAGAAATTTGAGACTGAGGAAAATTCAAATTTAATGCTATTGATAGTTAAAGAATTGATCTCATGACTTATCCTATTTACTGTTCGAAAAGACATAATTTGGGTTTTGTCATTATATTGAGCAAAAGATTATTAGAATTTAATCAATTCATAATTAGTATTAATTATTATTCACTTCTTCTGAAGAATTGCTTTTTATAATCACACTAGTGTCATCGGCAAAAAGAATAAATTTACAGAGGTCTGTACATTTTGGCAGATCGTTTATGTAGATGAGAAATAATAATGGTCCGAGAATTGAGCCCTGAGGGACACCAAGCTTAATATTTTGTTTGTCTGAGATAATTACTCAACCACGATCATTCAGATAAACAGATTGAGTCCTATTTGATAAGTACGATGAAAATAATTCAAGAGCTTTACCATGCACACCGTATTTTTCGAACTTGTTTAAAAAAATTTCATGAGAGATGCAATCAAAAGCTTTGGACAAGTCACAGAAAACTGCAATGCAGAAACTACCATTAATTGTATCAATTGTAAAATTTTAGGTGCTATGGAGAATTGGGGAGCAGTGACTTTTAGAGAGTCTTTACTCCTGTACGATGATGTTGCGAGTGACACCAAGAGTAGATATTCGATTGTTTCGGTAGGTAAACATCCACTTATACCAGTCTAATTATTATTTTTTGAATTGCTCAGTATCCAGTATCAAAATTCAGAATCCTTTGCATTACCCAGAAAAGTTTAGACAAGTTTTAGTATCTTTAGTCTTATTTTTCCTTTTCCAGGTGATTGCCCACGAACTGACCCACCAGTGGCTGGGCAACCTAGTCACCCTCAAATGGTGGTGGAATGATTTATGGTTGAACGAAGGGGTAACCACCTACGTCACTGGTCTAATAGTGGAGCAAGTGCATCCAGAATGGAACTCTCTTCTGGAAAACACTGCCAAAACGGTCATGAGTTTGCTGGAAGTCGACTCTTTGAAGGGATCCCATCAGGTGAAAAATGGAAATTATACTTTCTGGTAATTTAGGTCAGATATATATTGCTTTTTTTTTGGTTTAGGTGTCTGTAAAAATTGCTAATCCAAATGATATTGGCCAGATTTTTGATTCTATATCGTACAGTAAAGGAAGTATGATTTTGAGGATGCTGGATTTGATTTTGGCTGATAATATATTCAGGCTAGGCTTGAAAAGGTATTTAGATGTAATTCATATTTTGCCAATTGTAGTACAAATAGTATGAGAATGTGTACTCACTTCATAGACAAATTAGTGCGAGTGACAATTTTATACAATTTTGTTTATATTTGGAAGTTAATTATTGCAAGTTGATACTGTTTAAGATAAATTGAAGATAATTTTATTATCTACTAGTCCATCAAAGACAGTATTTAGATACAATTAATATTTACCAGTTGTAGTGCAAATAGTATGAGAATGTACTCACTAGGGTTTGTCTGTTTTCAAAAAACCGGTTTTGAAACCCTTTTTTTTGACAAAAATTATGGAATTCGAAAACCGTTTTTTTAGTGAAAAAAGTCGTTTTTCACTGTATAAATGGAAAATGACAAATATAGCCAAATATAAAAGATAGATGAAAGCGTTTTGGTTCTTTAAATCATATCGTTTCAATAGCAATTGATATCTTATCAATCTGCAATGGTTCCCAGAAAGGTTTTGTATATATTAATTTAGATTTTTATATCAGTGTATATATTAATTTAAATCAGTGTGACTTTTCTTGAAAAAGTAACTTCCTCTACTCAAACTTAAAAAAAAAGAGTTTTAACCTCTAGAAGCGATAAACTAAAGAAAAAAAAAACTTAGAATTATTATATCAGGCTTTATAAACATTTAAGCATAATTGGTCGCAAGTATAAGAGTATTTTCTATTTCAGGAAATTTTGTGAGTAAACAAAGGACATGTCTAAGTAGCAATTTGATAGACGTTTTGAATCATATTATTATTAAACAAAAAATAATTAAATGTTTAAAATTAATTAATTAAATTGCTTGGAACAGAAATAATAGTTTACCCTAATTGTTTTTGAAACTAAAATTGATATTAACAAGTATGTATCAACATGTATCTAATATTTCTTTATTTTTTTTTTATTTAATAAATTTTTTTATTTAAATGTATTATTTTTATTTATTCGAAAGCTTTCCTTTGACTATCATAAAAATATTTTCATTCTTATATGTGAAAATGATGCATGAATAACGAATAATTATTTTCAAAGTTATTTAATCAGGATAAACTATTATTTTTTAGTTCTTCTAATTAAAATTAAAATAATTTTGTTTACTATCTATAAAATTGAACAATAAATAAATTCAGTCAAATACTACTCTAAATTACACTAAATTTGCGGATAAATTACAAAATATTCGAACAAAAATTTATTATTTATATAAAATTCGAAAACCGGTTTTTTAGTAAAATGAAAATTCGAAAACCGGTTTTCTGAAATGTTGGTTTTTGTATAAACCCTAGTAACTCACTTTGTAGACAAATCAGTCCGAGTGCAAAAATTTATCATTTTTCCTTTTCCAGTTATTTATCGGAGCACGCTTATTCTAATGCCCAAAAGGACGATTTATGGAAGCACCTATCAGCAAGTTATAGAAAGAAAGAATTGGACAAAAATGAAACCAAGTGCACACAGGACGACCTCAAAATTTTGAGCAGGGATGATGGAGTAAAAACTATAATGGATTCCTGGACTCTGCAGACTGGTTATCCCCTTATTAACGTTAAAAGGAACTATGAGAAAGACACTGCCTACATCACACAGGTAAAGGGTAAAAGATAGTTTTTAAACCTGTTTAATATTTTATTACCATTATCCTTTATCCAGGAGCGTTACCTGTTGCAACGCATGTTCGAAACAACTCCTGCAAAATGCAACATACAAAGATGATTCTTCTGACAATAAACAATGCTGGTACGTTCCTTTAAGTTACACCACTGAATCAGAGAAAGACTTCAACAACACCAGGCCCAGGAAGTGGTTGGTCTGTCCAGAAAATATGAAGTACGACAGGAAAAGGAATCTGAGGAGTGATAATATGATTAGTTTGGGATTCGATAATAACAGTACTGATGATGAGGAAGATGATTATAGTTATAATAAGACTGGTGCAGATGTCTTGAAGAAGAATTATGCTGTTGGTGCTGGTGCTGATGAAGATGTCGATTTGCCAGGGACTGCCACATTGAAGGATATGCCGGGGAAGGATCAGTGGGTTATATTTAATATACAAATGGCAGGTGAGTGGATGGATTAAATTTTAGAATATGAGGTTTATTAACTTCCCGTAGGGTAAGTTATTGTAATGGGCCGAAAATCGAAATTGAAAATTTTTACATTTCTCGACGTTTTGAAGGTTTCTGAACATTTTGGCATACCTCAGAAAAAATGGATGTGTGTGTGTGTGTATGTATGTATGGATACAAATTTCCAGTCACGTTTTAGGGCGCACGGATCAACCGATTTGAATGTTTCAAAAAACATTCGCTTCCTATTGATAGGGAAAAGAGCTGATTAGTTTTTGGCAAAGGCAGGTCCAGCCGTTTCGGAGATACGGAGCAAAGAGTGCAGAAAATAGAAATCGAATTTTTGAAGGAAAGGAGTATCCGATTTGAATGATCTAAAAAACATTCAATTAGAAATGATTGGGAGAAGTGTTTATTAGTTTTTGGCAAAGGCAGGCCCAGCCATTTCGAAGATACAGAGCTAAATATGTAAAAAATGGCAGTTTTTGAGAGAACTAAGCGTCCGATTTAAATGATTCAAAGAACTTTCAGCTTGTCTTAACAAAATAATTGATTTTGGAAAAAAAAATTTTGTTAAATTTTTTTTTTTTTTTAGTTTTTTGTATATCGAAAATATTCCAGATTTTATTTTTAATTCTGACTATAGTTCTAATATACTTTACAAATAATTTCAACTCTGCAATTCAGTTTATATAATTCTTATAAATATTAGACAATGTTACAATATTTATAATAATCTATTTGAAAACATTCAGTATTCCTCGAACATTTCGTTACGGTACGGAAAGTTCCAGCAATTTGCCTTAAGGCACGATGCCACCCACCCCACTAGTTTACTTTTTTTTTACTAAATTCTGGAAGGAGAAGTTTGGGTTTTTGCCATAAAGTATGAATTGCCTGAATTTTTTTCTTTCGCTATACGATTTGAATTATAATTTTTTTTTGTAAATAAAACATTATTTGTAATGATTATAATCTATGTTGAAGAAAAATAACAATTTTTAAAAAATCTTGAGACCGCACCGTTTATACTACAATCTTGTAATTTTGCTAAATACTACAAACTTTTTTTTGTCATACAACCTTAACAAAAAGAGATTATATATAAATATTTATATTAGATATATCGTCTAAAGCATAAATGCTCTTGATTACTTAACACAAATTGTTCATCTATACTAATTTTTTTTTTCATATTTTTAGGTATCTACAGAGTGAATTACGATTTGCAAACTTGGGAGAAATTAATTTTATATCTTCAATCAGAAAATTATGACAAAATACACATTTTGAATCGAGTACAACTCATTGATGATTCTCTGGACTTGGCCTGGTAATTTATTTATTTATATAATGTAGAATAATATAAATAATAATAAATTTTCTTAGGACTGGAGATCAGGATTATTCTGTAGCTTTAAAACTGGTCTCATATTTGAAACAAGAAACAGAATATATAGCTTGGAACTGCGCATTAAAAAATTTGGCCAAGCTTAAAAAAGCTTTGATGTATGGGGATGAGTTTCCTCTGTTTGAGGTAATAAATGATTAATAATCCTAATTTATAAAAAAAATTGTCACAATTTTAATTATATATTATACTAACTGTTTGAGAATACAAAAGAACAAGAGCAAAATTACAATAAAGCTAATTAAAATTCTTTAAATTTAGTAAATAGTGTGAGAGCTAATACCATTTTTATCTGTATTCATTAAAGTACTGGCGGGGCTAATATAATATTTCACTCACTCATCTATGACTAATATTTTGTATTTATTATTTGCAGAAATATATAAGCCAATTTATATCACCAATGTATGAACGATTGGGTGGTATTTCTCATCAGTTAAAAATCAAAAAGGGCAAATCGGCAGAAAGAGAAAATCTCACAGGTTAATATATAATATATATATATATATATATATATATATATATATATATAGTATGGTATCAATTGTATTTTTTACAAAAGTTGTAAATCCAAATCTACCAATGTATTTCAAATATCATTCTTATCATTTGCAGACCATTCTCGGCCTGAAGACATTGTGAAACACCGAATCCTGATCTCGTCCTGGGCATGCAGATATGCAATTTCAGATTGCAGACAAAAGGCAGTATCGTATTTTGAAGAATTCATGAACGCTCACAAAACTAAAAGTGACAGGGCAGCTGATGTGTAAAGGACCACTGTGTAATAATTAATAAAATAATAAAATCAGAATGTTTATTCTTGTGTTTTGTTTTCAGGATTCCTGCAGACATTGTGTCTATAGTTTACTGTACTGCTGTTCGATTTTCAGACCAGGTGAATAAGAAAATTAGGAGTAAAACATCTGATGATACCAGAAGAAAAGGTACGTATGGACATCTAGTAGTGTGTTATTTACCAGAAAATGGTTATTCAGTTTTTTATCTTGCAGGTTTTCACAATCATCCGGTGGTCAGAACTTACGGCACAAATAAAAATAATACTGATAAAAATTCTTCTTTATCATTTGAACTTTTAACAGACGAATGTACCAGCCAAGATGTAGAGAACGTAACATCATCTAGTGCTTTTGAATTTTTATGGAATTTAGCTGGAGATAGTAATCTGGCACAGACGCAAGTTTTGGCTATTTTGAAGGCTTTGGCTTGCACTACGGATAAAGATAAGGCTCTCAGGTATTGCAGATTTATCAATTGTCTTGAAAATGTTGTAAATTGTATGAAAATAATTTGGGTTGTTTGAAATTTTTACAAATCGCCTTAAAACATTGTAGATTGACTGAAAACGTGGTTGCAGAATGTAGATTGTTGAAAAACGTTTTTTTTTAAATGTTGGAAATTGTCTGAAAATGTTCTAAATGTTCTAAAAATGTTCTAAACACTGGAGAAATGTTATAAACAGTATGAGAATGTTGTAAACACTGTGAAAATTGTCTGAAAATGTTGTGAACTGTATGAAAATATTGTATATTGTCTGAAAATGTTGTAAACAGTGTGAACATGTTGCAAATTGTCCAAAGAGATTATCTTCTTAGTATTGTAAATTAGTCAAAAAAAATCATTACAGATTCATTTATCATTTACCATATTATTAATTTTTTGCAGATATTTGAACGCTTCTTTAGATCGCAATAGTTTTATCAGGAGACAAGATGCCCAACTTGCATTCTCGGGTGTTGCTTCAAACTCTAAAACTTTTATGGTGGCCAGAAAGTTTCTATATGAAAGAATCAAAGATATATACGAATAGTAAGTATAATAAATAACAAATATTATTCAAATAAGTACCTCATTTGGTTTGTTACTAGTTTGGGTCCGAATTCAAATAAATTGGGCAGTTATGTGGATGCAGTAGCGGATCAGATCACAACACAGAAAGATTATGATGAGGTAATAATTAATGTTTATATTTAATCATATACTACATATTTTAAAATATGTATTAATTGTTATTTTAAATGGTACATTTATAGTTGGTGGAGTTCACAAAGCAGAATGCAAAATATTTAGCACGTTCTCAACTGATTATTAAAAAATCATTAGAAAGTGCCCAATTAATGATACATTGGCAACAAAAGCATTACGATAGAGTAATAAAACTTTTAAAGGAATATACGCAAGATTAAGTATTATTTTTAATTACATTGACTGTGTACTAGTAAGTGCTTGTGAATAAAATAAAATACTCTTGTATAAATACAAAGATCTATTTATTGTTCTTATAATTATTAAATAATATTTCATTTTACTTCTTAAGGCTGTTAGTGATCCATTGCAAGTAAGGATCGTTCCCATTGTCTATTTTAACACTAATCACTTCGCAGACTTCATATGGGTGATTCTTTTTAACAAATGCTGTAAGTTCAGGGATTTTGTTCGTTTGTGTCTTGATCATCATTAGAAGTTCAGAATCCTCCTCCATTTTGCCTTGCCAGGAGTAAATGGAGATTATGTTCGGTATTATGTTGACGCAAGCAGCTAGTTTCTCCTAAACAGAAACAGGAGTAAAATATATGTCAGTATATATTATAAATGTATATTAATTATATACCTGAACTAAGTCTTTGGCTATTCTTTTGGCAATTTCTTGCGTAGGCACTGTGACATACGCTATGGAATGAGTGCCAGAAATGTAACTTGACATTGTTCTCGTATTATTAAGATTTTGTGTTAACGTTAATGCTCGTCGGAGCATAAAAGCTGTAATTAATAATACAGTTATGCTAATAATTTCCCTGGGCATTAAATATATATTTAAAACTTTTTTAAATTTATTGGCATGACAGTTTAAACTATCGAGTAAATTTGAGGTTATATTCGATATATATTTATTTTCGATATATATATCAAAGTGTTATTAATTATTACATAATATGCTTATAAATGATCAGTTATATTAATATCAATATCCTTTTATGCATCTAAGTATATATTTTAATGGTTTTATAAATAATTGTCATGACAGTTAACCACAACAAATTAAATTAGAGGTTTTTGACTTATATTTTAAAAACAAATATTAAAAAGAATTAATTGTTATTTAATATATCTTTATGAATGATTAATATAGTTCTGTAAATAATTTTTTGGCATCTAAATATATATTTTAAATATTTTACAAAATTTTGACATGACAGTTCATCATAACAAAGTTAGTTTGAGATTAACTACTATTTTTATTTATTAAACAGTGTTATTAATTGTAATATAGTATATATTATTTAGTTACTAGTATATAATTAATATTAGAGTTATATCAATAATTTGCTTACGAATTTAGATATATATTTAAATCGTTTGAAAAGTTTTGGTCTTGACAATTTCATCAAGACAAGATTGAGGTTAGAAACCATTTATATTTATTTGTAAAAACAATATTTAGCATGTTATATAGTATTATATATTTTGTTATTGGTAAATAATTAATATTAGAATTATATTAATAATTTCTTTACGAACATAAATATATATTTTAATACGGATTTGTGTCCGTTTGACAGTTAACTGCAATTTAAATTTGAGCTTTGTCAACGATTAAAAGTGTTAATAAATTTCATATATTTTTCACCAAATATACGGTTTTAATAATTTAGAGTATGTAACCTCTAATTCTTTCAGTTACAACAATGTGTACCCCAAATAAGAAGACAAAGCTATCTCATTTAACACCTTGCAGGCGAATGGGTTTAAATAGGTCTCCAAGAAACTTTACGCCACCTTTCAAAGATAAAAAAGTGCACGTTGAGAGCCCTTTGGTAGAGAATACTAATAATAATGAGTATAAGACTCCAAGGAAAGTTATTAGTAGTAGGAGTAAGAATAAACTTGTATTCGAGGATAAAGGTAACTTATAGCATGATTTAATTTTGTTACATTACTATAACATTGTTGATTTCTCTTTAATAATAATTATTTATCAATATTATAGTTATTTTAATAACATTGTTAATTCTACCACAGTTGCTAAAGGTGTTTCCGTATCGACTGAAGAAGATTTAGTATCTAATTATGTACCTGAAGATAATTATGTTGAAGCAACATCGTCTGTTGACGAAGATCGCCTTAAAGATGTGCCTTTGGTTGAAGTTTTCAATGCACATTCTGACATCAAACAAGTATTTATAACAATTGCTCCTATAAGTAATCAGATTGGCAAACGTAATTTTATTATTGTTTTATTAAAACAGGTCTGCAGAACACCCAATGAACAAAATACATTTGTTCAAGCGCAAAATGATTTAATAAATGCTCTTAATACACAAGAAGACCTCAAAACAAGCCCTAGTGAACCTATTGAACTTAATTCTACTATTAGTGCAAATTTAACAGACCTAGAATCATTTTTTGATGCTGCAAGTAGTAATATTTTACCAGAAGCATCCAATGGGCCAAAAATTACACAACAAGATGTCACCCAGAGTGATCTGCTGAAACTAAAGCGAGAAATTGCTTTAAAGAAAAGAAAACTTAGAGAGCTTGAAGGACATGTTTGTGCTGATGATGTAACGGCACAAATTGCAATCTGGAAAAGTGCTACTAGAGAGATTCTAGAAGATTTATTGACATCGATGAAGAATGAGAATAACGACTGCAGAAATGTGCAAATTGTAAATATATTGAAGGCTTTAAATATTTCTTCTGAATTGATTGGGTATGATGCAGTATCCGAAGACTTTATAGATTAATTATGAAGGTTACATTATTTATATTCTTGTGATATATTAGGCATAGTTAAATTATAAACAAATACTTAATTTTCTAATTATATTATTACTTCTACATTTACATTATTATTCTATGCATAACTATGTGGTTTCAAAGGCCTTTCGGGGTCAAACAACTTCGGTTCATGCAAAAAATCAGGGTCTTTATTATAATAAGGCATAAAACCAGCAACTTGAGCCTTCACAATCTCCTGTTCCACTTGTTTTTGCTTATTAGAACACAAGCCTGTGATGTGCCTTCCATACAGGCGACCTGTGTAAGGGCTCTGAAACTGTGATAGAAGTTTAACATTTTTATAATCAGGTTGTATATTGTATTTGCAGAGGATGCATTGTTGTTTTTCTTTCTGGAAAGGATTTGGTATGTCCACAGGCTCGTCTGAAGAAGTCACATTGGTTGATTGAGAGAGAGGTGTTAAGCAAATGTTTCTTTTGATGACTGTAGAGCCTGTAAAGAAAATTCGGGTAAATGGTAATGATTTAAACACATACACTACTCGAGATTTATACCATATTGTTGATATATTCTCCTAATTAAACAGTTCATGATGTAAAACAATATTAGATAGGTTATGTTTTATTGCAAACGATTGTTGATTAACACAATAGCAATGTTTATATAGGAATCTTTTCAGTGTATATATTAAATTATAAACGTTTTTATATTACATTATATTTTATAAAACGTATTTATACATAAACTTTAATTAAAAGTAACCTAATAGCGCACTGTCAAGTGTCAGTGTGTATTTTTGTGTTGGTAGTTTGCACAGATAATTTTTGTGAGCCAAATTTGAATTTGAAATGTTTATCAAACAGTTTAATATTAAATATAACAATATTTATACATAGATTGCTAAATTTTGAATGTTTTCATAGGTTTAAATCGCTATTTATATAATATAATTTGTTTGTAACAAGTACACTTTTTTGGAGCCAAATTTGAACCTAAAATGCAAATGAATGAACATTTTTTATTAATATAATATCAATTAATTAAAACAAATTGCATACATTAATTCCAATATTTGTATAAATATTTTTTTCATATTCAAAATAATTTAATTAATAATTACTATATGTATTTATATACTGTACATATTTCAATTTCTACAAATTTCATTCATCATATCTCTATTTATTTTCTCAAACGATGACTCTTCCAATTTATTTATAACATCTTTAGGGACCCATTTGATTTTTGGATCAGATTCTGTAAATGGATCCTTAGATTGGACATCTAAATCCTCAATCTCATTTGGTAAAATCAATCTGAAACATTATTTGAAAATATTAATAAGTAAAATTAACCTTAGTTGCAATTGCAACTATTAAGATGTAAACAAAGTATTAATAATTTAAATTATTAATACTTTGTTTACATCTTAAGTACCTGTATGAATGTAAAAACATTCTATAAGGCCTTTTATCCTCTGATCGACCGTATGTGTAATCCCCAATTATAGGGTGACCGATAAACTGACAATGGACACGTATTTGATGTCTTCTGCCTATAATTTTTAATTAAATGAGCTTTAAATAATTATTATAAGGGTTTGCGCTCACCTGTGTGCGGCCTAATCAAAACTTTAGTAGCTTCTTTTCCATTATACAAGCCTTTTGATAATATCATAATTTTAGTACTTGCATCACGTGGGGACTGACAATTCTCATCAGATGCTACACACATTTTGTGGGAACCTTTCACATGCCTCCTATCTTCACCTACAAACATTAAATATTAAAACATAACAACAGACAAGTTTCTATTACATTTTACAAACCAACGCCTTGCACAACGTTTGTAAATTCTTCTTCCAAATGTCCTCTGAGTAATGCCAAATAATATTTTTTGGCATGTCTTTTCTCAAAAGCTTTCACAGCTGCCGAGCATGATGTCTTTGTTAATGCAATGCACATAACACCACTTGTCGAATAATCTAAACGATTTGCAAAATGGAATTCATGAAATAAATCGGAATTGGCCAAGTTTGGAAAGGTGTCTTTTAGTAACGTTTGAACAGTGGGCTAAAAATAAATGATTTATTAACTTTGAATGACAGAATTGGATAATATTTACTTACTTTGACTTTGCTATCATCGCTGTTAATCAAAATATCGAATGGTTTATTGACAATAATAAAATTATCACTTTTATGCAAAACGTCTAAAGAAGGCTTTTTATGAGAAGAAAATAAGCAAGAGATCAATTTTTCCAGATAATTTAAAATTGGCATACGAAGTAAGTATAAAAGCAATTGTAACAAAAAGTCTAACAGTAATTCGATCATTTTTATTGTTTTGTATAAAATTTAATAGAAAGTGTTACATTTTTGTGTTGATAATAATAATAAACAAATTTTGTTTTGAAGTGTAACGATTAATGTCAAAGTTTTTGAGGTTATTGACAGCTCAGATAATGGAGATGAAAAATTATGATATTTATACTTAAAACATATTTATTATATAATTTTGATAGTTAAATTATTCAAATATGTTTAATATATATATGCTAACTTGAGTTTATTAAATTTTCTGCTTGAAGCTGTTTTAATAATTATTTGAGTATGGCTTTTTTGGTGTTGCTATATTATTAAAATTAATATTGAAATATAATAATGTGTATTATAAATTACGCTTAATTATTATTGCAATACAATATGATAGTATCAGTATGGGATATGTTAATGTTTAATTTTTATATTTTAAATATTTCAAAAACCGCGCGCTTTTTTGTGCACAATTGCGTAGCCTACTTCACTCTGTCCATTTTCAATGTGGAGGACAAGCTGTCAAAGTCTGGCAAATATATTTTAATTTAATAATTTTTGTCTGTTTTAAATAAAAAATGTTTCGGAGAGCGATTTCTAGTGCTACTAAATTGCACAAACAAACTTTAGGTAATCAAATTGTGCAAGTCAGGAACCATGGTGGAACGTAAGTTTGACATATTGTAGTTGTAACTTGGTTATAATTATGTAATTTGTAATATATAATGGAAATAACTTCTTTATTTAGTAAAATATAATATCTACATCGTCAGCAAAAACATTTTTCTATTTACTTAAGTCTATATCACTTATAATTTATATACTCAACATATTTGTCATCTGTATATGAACACTGTCATGATAATTCAAGTCATATATACAGGGAATAACTATATTAATATAATAGTTAAAAATCTTTAATATAAAGTATTACATACTTCTCTATATTAATACTTTAAGCATATACTTTAGAATGAAAGAAAATAATAACAGCAGTTATGTTTATGTTTTACATATAAAGGGGCTTTTCAATTTCTTTGCAATACGAATTCACTCATCAATCAAAAGTCAATTGTTCATTGTCACACCTGTAAAGACAAAACAAATCAATTCGGACCAAAAATTATTGATTAAAAGAGTCTTAAGTCTAAAATAGGTTTCAGGAACAGTTAAAAATATTTATTTTGGTAACTGCAACATATGTTTTCATAAAAATATTATTTTAGTGCCAATTACCGCTGTGCTTCACGTCCTTCAAAGAAATTAAACTTCTCGGTGAACTTACTGGGGCTTTAATGTGGTACTGGTGCTTGTACCATATTTGGACTGAACCGGATCATATTTTAGTATGTATTTTTTGAATATTAATACTTCAATCAATAACATTTGATTTTATTTCATCTATTCATCTTATGATGCAGATCTTCTAAATATTCATACCCTAATCAATAATATTCCATTCTATTCTATCTATCTATCTTTTGGTACATGTTTTTTAATCATAAATATCTTAAATTTCATTTTATTTCAATACTTTAATTATTTTTAGGGAGAGTTTCCTTATCCTGATCCTAGTAAATGGACGGATGAAGAACTTGGTATCCCAGCCGAGTAATGATGGATAGTTAATTGATAGAAATAATTAAATATTGAAATTTAATGAAGTATCTGGATTGTATATGGTACTGCAACTTGTATATAGAAAGTGAATAAGATGTGTTAAACGGTAGTGAAATGGAAAAAATATTTATTTGTTTATCCAGTAACGTTTAATTTTCTTGCAGTTTTTAATATGTATATATATATATATATATATATATATCTTTTTATGTGAAATACAAGCATAAAAATATAATGAGCAAGTATAGCACAAGTCTATCAAAAAATTGAGATAATATGATTCACATTTTCATTTCTTTCCTCATTCTTACGTTTATACTTTTTTTCTATTTAACACCATAAAATTTATAAAAATAAGCAACACAAAATATATATTAATTATATTTTTAAATTAAAAGAAGTTCAGCATTAGTCTTTGTTAACTTTCTGATGGGGAGTTTATGTTTTTGCTAGTTAAACTCAATTTGCTTATTTTGTTCATTAAGGTCTTTCATTAAATCTTGACTATGATTATGCTATGATTTTAAAAATTTAAATGTCAGTTGCTGAAACATGATAGGGATTAGCATTGATTAATTCAACGATTGGTTAGTAAAATGTTTTGTCCACATTTTCACCAAAAATCCTGAACTGGTTTTGAAAATTTGAAAAGACAACAGTTGATTTTATTATTTTAAAGATTCTAAATATCAACTATATCTAAAATATAAGATTGTAAAACAAGGTGTGCGAACAGTGCATTTTTTTAAAAACATTACTATGCTTTAATACAAATTATAGATACCTCACAAGTTCATTTTAGTATCATGAGTATTAGTAAAATGTTTTGTCCACGTTTAACCAAAAATCCTGAACTGATTTTGAAAATTTGAAAAGACAACAGTTGATTATATTATTTTTTACTATAAATAAAGGTTTTAAATATCAACGATATCTAAAATATAAGATTGTAAGACAAGCTGTGCGAACAGTACATTTTTTTTTAAAAAAACATTACTATACTTTAATACAGATTATAGATACTTCACGAGTGTAAGTTGGATTTCAAAATATTTTTTTAATTAGTGTTGAACCAAAATAATTGTTCATTTCAGTATCTGTTGCAGTTTTAGATATATTAAAGAATGTTTATGCAAATTAACAAGATTGTAATACAAACGGTGTGGCCAGAAGATTTTTTTGGGGGGGGGGGGGGGCTATTGAAAGGCCGCTGTTCCATATGTGGCACAACTTGCGCCTTACATGATTGAACACCTGCTACTAAGAATTGATACATACGTTTTAATTTACAAATCGGACAATTAATTGCTATTAACTAATAATTATTGCTACTTTTATTATTTATATTATTTTTTACTACGCCTATGCGTGCGCACTTGAACATTGGTACCGCCGACCCCGCAAGAGGCGCTGCTCTAACTTCAGCTTCAACTTCAGCTCGGCTCTCGTCGTTCAGTCAGTCAATTTCCAATATGGCGTGCGCGTCGTGAGTGCGTCCGAAGCATTGCTCGTCTCCAAAACACGAATTAAAATGTCAAAAACTACGTGAATCGCATTCGAAACACTCCATAAACATTTATAAACCTTTAACGTTTTGATCCAAGCAAAATTCGCAGTTCGGGAAATGTTTAAACTCGTAGAAATTTGATTAAACGGTGCGTTGGATATGTGAAAGTTTTTTGTGTGATTGTGTTGTTAATAAATGAATTTGAAGTGAAACTACACTTGGATGTAGAACGAGCTGTAAACGACATATTAATATACAAAAAGGTAATTGTTGTTTGATGATTTTTGTTATTTGATTAAGCTTAAGGATTTGTTTTTGTGTCCGTCGTCTTGTTGTCATGTTAGGCTAGGTTCTGTCACGCCCTTCAAAAACATACATGAGTTTATATATAAATATATTTATATATATTCTGACATTAGGAAATCGTACATAGTTTTATTATTCCATTATATAAAAACTGCATAATGTCTGAAATTGCAAATAAATTTTAGTACATATTTTTTCTTATACGGCTCCATACTTATGTATTTTTTGTTTACCAACATTAAGAATGGCGTTCGACTTATTTTTATTGCATTTTAATTAATATCTATAAATACTTGGAATATTTCGTGATTGCAATTATATTATACAATAATATATTATATAATTGTAGCCATAAATAATTAATATAAAATTGTTACATTCAGACATTAAAGCAGTGGTTTCCAATCGTTTTGTACTTGCGGTCTCCTTGATTTTTCTTAAATATGTACTTAATTGATAAATTTTATTATTGTTAGAAAATAATATTGATAATGAGTTTGGAATTTTTAACGTTAGTCATAATTAATTTAAAATGATTATACCAGGGGCCTTTAAACTTCATCAGCATTTAAACACCAATTGTTAGAAAATTTGTATTTTTGGTATTCATAGTTAAGGGGTTCATAAACACTTACTGAATATATATTTATATATATATATATATATATATATATAATTTGAGTTGAAAAGTCGGACGTTACATCAATAAAAATAGTATGAGAGTTTTTAGAAATTTATTTAAAATCCATACGTTTCGGCTAGCATCTTAGCCTTCATTCAGTGGCAATCAATTTAACTATAAAAATTAATACTAAATAAATAATATATAAGAATATATATTATTATTATTATTATTATTATATAATATAATAAATAATAATATGTAAGAAATTTCATAGAAAAACAGTAATAGTGATAATAATAATAATAATAAAACACTTACACTTTTGTATCCTAATATAACATATGAAAACATTATTAATCCGTGGTATGAGTATGTGCACATTGATAAAATATATATTTTTTAACATCACAGATGGTAAAACACACAAATAAACATGATAATTTAACAAGTTGTCAAAACTATGTATTTACTGTTAGGAGTTTAAGATAGAAATGTCACATTTTTTCTTGAAGCAGTTTTTAGCATGTGTTCAAATTTTATGGGAAATTTAAAAAGCGATTGGATCTTGTCATTTTTTTAAAGAAATTTTGAAACGCTATTTAGGAACCACGTGTTTGTTTTGTTCAGGGCCATATTGTCGAATCGTTTGTTTATGACCCTGTCTATATGCAATTGCAAAAACAACCCCTCAGCAAATCTTCTTTTAATTACGCTCTCTTCAAAATGTAACATTTTGCGTTGAAAAATCTATATTATGGTTTAAATTATTAATATGCTGGGTTAACATTGTCTTAAATTGTTTGGAATTTTTTGAGTTATTTTTATGTTGATGAAGACTTTTACTCAAGTTTTGGATAGTTTCTCCGATATAAAAAAGTTCGCAATTAGAGCAATTAATCTGATATACCAAGTTCTTGAGGTCAGAATTAAACTTAGATTTAATTTGTGTAAAAATGGAACTAAGGGTTTATATATATATATATATATATATATATAATGATTATTATTATTATTATTCCTGTGTCTATATTTCTCTTACATAAAAGATAACAACTACAAGCAATATTTTAAAATATTCGACATTAAAGTTATGCAAAACAATGGAGATTTTTCATTATCAGTTATTTAATATTTTTAAATATTTATAAAGCCGCACAATAAATATTGAAAATATTTGACGTTAAATTTCAATTTAACAAATTTTATTATACTCTTGTGAATTTTATGGACGTCTGTTTGCACATGGCTCGAATATTTGCACATGTGCTATTGAAATAACACATATGTAGATACATATGAGTATATATAAATGTGTATGTATGTATAGACAAGGTTATGAATGCAAATTTGAATAGTATTTTAGCTCGAACTACTTTTACTTTCTTGTTCGACATTTAACAATTTAACAATTCTAGTTGTGTCACTAATTAAATAAATTAAAACGATGTCGACGTCGTGGATTTCAAAGACAAAGAAATGTGTATGGAAAAGCATTTTTGTAAATTTTAATCCAATGTGAAAATTAACGAAAAAATTGCGAATATATATATGCATTCATAATATATAATTATTTTCTATGTATTACTGGCGATAAGAAGAATGTCTGTTAACGGTATATCAAAAATAACTGCATAATTGCATGCAGATAAGGATTATTCGATTTATATGCATTTTTCGTTTTTTGCAAGTGTTTTCTCTACACGTGGTGTAATTTATCATCGATATGCACACTTACATTTGCACACACATCTAAAGCACTTTTTGCAGATAATTATTCATTTCAACAAATCTTAACTTTTTATTTAACATTTATTGTACATTTTGTAATTTAATGATGTTTTGCTTATTGGGCATAGGTCAAATAGGAGAAGGATATAATAGTTATAATAGATTTATTAACTTGTACACTGAAATTAAATTACCTGTCCCAAGTATTCAACAAATTTTACTCTTGTATTGTTCAAATTTAAATTGGATATTATGAAAATTTGTATATATCTTTACGTTTCAAAACCTTCTGAACATTTTGGCATACCTTAGAAAAAATTGATGTGTGTGTGTGTGCGGGAACAAATTTTCGTCGACGATTTCGGGAACACCGATCAACCGATTTCAACATTCGATTCATATTGATAAGGAGATGTGCTGATTGGTTTTTGGCAAAGGCAGCTCCAGCAGTTACGGAGATAAAGAGCAAAGAGTGCAGAAAATAGAAATCGAGTTTTTGAGAGAACGGAGCATCCGATTTGAGTGATCTAAAAAACATTCAATTAGTAATGATTGGGAGAAGTGGTTATTAGTTTTTGGCAAAGGCAGGCCCAGCCATTTCGCAGATACAGAGCTAAATGTGCAAAAAATGACAGTTTTTGAGAGAACTAAGCGTCCAATTTGAATGATTCAAAGAACTTTCTGCTTGTTTTAACAAAATAATTCAGATTTTATTTTTAATTTTGACTAAAGTTCTAATATACTTTAAACAAAGAATTTCAACTTTGCAATTCAGTTTATATAATTCTTATAGATATTAGACAATTTAACAATATTTA